AAATGTCCTGCTTACGAACCGTTTTTTTCCACTCAGAGCAAAATGCAATTAGGAGCTGGGAAGGAGACATGAATAGGGTGAACACTGGAGGTAACTTTGGCATCTGGCAAATGTAAAATTAAATTACGAACAGCTTCTTACAAACTGCCAGTAAGCAAGCTATGCTTTCTTTAATACAGAAAAATACGGGCATTAAAATCCACCTGGGCAAGGGGAGAGTCCTGGCCGGGCTCAGCTGGTGTGGCAGCTTTGGGGGTAAGGTCATGGATCCATTTGTTGACCATTTGGAAAGCTGTGATCTGAGAATCATGTTTTTACTTCTACCTTATAACTCGCCCTCCGTATCACAGAAGCGCTCTGAGGCAGCAATAAAATAGAGCAAATGAGGGGCACTGCCTGGTGCAATTACTGGTTTTGGCAGGTTGAGTAAGAGACTGCTTCCACTCAACCTTGGGCTGAGGTTGTTCCAAAAAGCAAAGCTGAGATCGCTGCTTCTGCCCTTGCTCGCTCTCGGATCTTCTTCCTAGAGCAAACTGGATCCTGTGCTGTGCTTGATCAGCTCCCTTTCACGTACTCCAGAATAAAACTGATTTTCACATCCCAGCTGGGGCTTGGTTTGTGCATGTCACTTTTTCTTCTACCCCTGAGATAATAGCTAATGGATGCTTCTTTTATTAGCTTTTTTTTTTTTTTACACAAACGTAAAGTATCCTGGATTTGAAGGCCACAGAGCCACTGCCCAACTCGTACCCAAATGCCACAAGAAAGCTGGTAAATAAAGATGATTATTGAAAAACAAAAACCAAGTGAGTTATTTGGGAATTGCAGATATTTTGGTTGTAAAGAAAAGGTGTGTGTAGTAAGGAGAGGGGAGAGGACTGGGTGTTTGGTTTTGAAACCGAGAAACTCGTCCTTGTTGTGGCACTGTAGCATCCTAAAACCAATGCTAGAGGAAACAGGGCAAAGTTAAACCAGCTGCAGAAAGAACAAAAAGTTCCTATGAGAAAGACTGAGGCAAAAACCAAAAAGTGCTCACAGTTATAGTGGTTACAGACAGCCTGCACGCTGAGACCCTATTAAGATACAACAGGCAGGGATTGCAATGCACAATAAATAGGTGACACTTCTCTTCTCCCAAGTGATATTTCTTCCTTTGGTCATGCCAGTTCTTTGTAGGAACACTACCATGTACAGGAGCTGTCTTTTAGTCTTTCAGATGGGGTGCTGTAAAGATGAGGCTGGAAAAAAAGCCTAAAAAATCTAATTCTGGGTGACCCGGTGGCTTTAATTTACCCACAAGTATATCTAAGGTTAAGGTGTTTTCTGTCCTGGAACAGCTGTGCTGTTTAGAGAGCCTCTGGGCAAAGCGGCTGCAGTCTTGTAACCCAGGCAGAAGTCACTCTTCAGGGAACCTGGGAGAGTCCTGTCCTGCAAAGGTATAAATATATAAATTCAGTCTGACATCTGTGGTTTCAATAGGGAAAATAATAAAAAAAAAAAAAAAAAGCAGCAAGTTTTTCCCATGAACGACATGAGAAGGGGATTTGAGATACGGATTGAGACCTCACTTGGAAGTCTTTTGAGTCCTAAGCCTGCCTGATCTCAGGCGCGCGTTGCCAAGTCCTGGCTGCTGCCCCAGGAAGCTGTGAGGCGGAGGAGAGCGACTCCAAGTAACTTGCTGGAACCACGTTATCGAGCGTTGGGCTGTCTGACTTGAACATTGCAATTGCTACATGAAACAAAGCACCGATAAAAATAGTGTGTTTTCTTGCCATGCTTCATTTCCTTCTGGATAGTCTCAAAATGTCCCTGTTTGATTCTTTTCTTTGTACAAATTCAGTGAGTCATTGTGATCACAGTGCTCTGGCAGCATTTTGAAAAGCTCTGAAATACAGAATATTTCCCTGAAATTGCCAAATGTTTTACATGGAAGTGGCTACATTTCAGGTAGTCTGGCCATATTCTTCCTATTTTTTTTTATATGTATCTCCTTCCTGTAAGAGTTACTCATATTTTAAAGTAATTGCCCAATGCTTCATGGTTTTTGGAGGAGCAATAGTGTATAATCAGTCCCTTCCCCCTCCCCCCAAATGTTCATTTTTAGATAATAAATGAATCATGATCCTGCTACGTACACAGACTATTTAGGATCCAGCATCCCTGTCCTTTTCCCACGTTTATCTAAGCATCTGTTGGAAAAGTCACTCTGTGCTGGATACCAGGCATCCTGTAAGAGTAGATTTACTCGAATGTATAATGTGCAGGGGTTTGTCAGTGAGCCCTGGGACGTTACCCCAAGCAGACGTGTAAGACGTGTCCAGGACGACTTGCCCACGTAAATGCTAAGCCGTACGTATTTGGCAGAGCGAAGGGTCTTACCAACCCAGCTAGAACTCAACGTTGGAACCGCTTTGTGTGTGGAGATAGAGCGTGTGCTACAGAAAAGGACTCTTGAGCTGCATCTGCTGTCTTGAATTTCTTCCTGAGCACACACGTAGTGTATGGGTTTCCTAAGCTGTAGTCTTGTCTTTACCTCCACAGTGATGCTTGATAGCCTTCGATTTCCCCACGAGGTTGTCCTCATCTCTAGCACTGCTGGCTGCTTTCCGAATGCAAGACACGTCTGCTTGTAAGGGAAATCTGACATGCTAGTTTTGCTTGGCCATTTTTTTTCAAATACTTTTGCCTTGGCCATGCATTTTTGCTGTTGTACAAAACAATTTCCTTTTTTCAGCTGGACAGGCTGTCTGTTGGGAGGACGATGGTACCTCCTGCATTTGGATTTGGTGGTGACGCCCTGTTTGAGTTTCTTGAGCACTTGCAGAGCCTTCTATCAATGACAGCTCTTCCATTACGTGTGAAGAGGTGCTTAAGTGGGCATCTGGGGTTGGACGTGTGCTGTTGACAAAGATAAATTGTTCGGACAGATGCTGCTGCCCAGACATACATCACACAGGTACACAGGCCATATGTTCCTTCGGCATTAATGCTGACCTGTCTTAGTGCTTAAAGGATGTTTTCATATCTGATATTAGCCAGGGCAGCTAGAAGAGAGCAGGAAAAAAATGTCCTGACCCTTGGTATCACCATCTTTTCTGTCTCTGCAGTTACGGTTACTAGCAGGATAAAAGCTGAGAGCAGATTTCTAGAGCATTGTCTGGTTTACCCTTTTTGTTTCCAGGATGCTTGTTATTTGGATTCATCTTCATAAAACTTTGGATATCTAGATTTTGATTGACAGGTGGATAATTCATCATATCGATCAGACTGGGGCAAGAAATGGCGGTGGCTAGACTTAAGAAGCAGGGCTCTTGAGTGGAGAATAGGTTTCCCTTTTGAAAACCTCCATTACTGTTTGATTTTAAATTTTTAAACATCACTTTCTTGGGTGTTGCAAGGCTTTTTTGGGGGGCTTTTGAGGACTTGAGAACCATGCTATTAAGAGGCAACATGAGTGAGGTAGCAGAGCAGCGTGGACCATGGCTGGCAGCAGGTCTCTCTCCGAAGGGACACCCTGATTCCCGGAGCTGCCTACGCAGAAGATGTGACTTCAGTGGCTGGTTTGAGGAAGGGGAAGCAGCAGAGGACCCCACGTTCTTTGTGAAGGACGGGGGTACTGTCGTTATTGCCGGAGTTCAAAGGCGTGTTTTATCCCCGCAGGTCTCCTGAACAGATTGCCGCTCATGCCAAATTGTTTCTCGCATTTGTCTGTGTTATCAGACCCGTCGAGCTCGTTTTGATTTGTGACCCAGACTTGCAGCCTCCATCTCCAGAGGCAGGACGGTAGCGTGGAGAACAATATAGCTTTTCTGTGGGTTTTCTCAGTCACTGCTAATTTCTAGTGTCCCTTGGGTGAATCAGCCTCCTTCTCCTGCCTGATTCATTCAGTGCCATCGTGATATGTTTGACATCACCATCATTTCCATGTTTAGTGAGTTATATATTTTTTTAAATGCTTTGTGACACTTTTAAACGAAGGTAGAGAAAGTAGATTTTGGAACACTAGAAGCATCTGGCGCTTGCATGTTTTGTTTGGCAACTTTGTGAAATTAATACGGTCCTAAAGTGGAGAAGAAAAATTACCCACTGAACTTATAAGTTAATTAGCTCTAAGTCTCAGGTGCTTAAAAACGAGGTTAGGATTGTCATGTCAGTCTGGCTGCGGATGGTTTCTCACGCCTGGCGTGTTTCCAGGTCATTCTGCTGGAGCATAGTGCGGCAAGAACAGGAGCAGGCTTTTGAGATTGCTTTCTTCCCACACCTAGAGAGGCTTTTTTGGTCATTTAACTGACCAACTAGTTGGCACAGCATAAACTTTGTCACCCAGCAGTATGTGTAGCATTTGTTCTGCTTAGAAAAACAAGGATCTGGAGTAAATTACAGTTGTAGGGTTTGAAGAAAATTAGAAGGGGGCTGTTCAGGAGGAGCATCAAATACTATTCTCTCCTCCTGTTCCCTGGCTAATCTGGCTTTTCCACAGGCGTAACAGAAATCTTAAGGTTTTATATAACAATTATGGGCACGGTAGAGAGTAAAGCCTTAAGGAAAAGAAGAGAAATACAAAATTTATCTTAAATTTTGCATTTGCATATTGTTTCGACTTCAGAATGTATAAGATTAATCATTTTTTGACCTTTTTTCTGAGGTTCTGGCGAGTAGCTTAGGAAATGCAGCCTCCGGTGTACTAAATGTCATCCTGTCTAAAATATTTAACAACACAACCTGCACTCAGAAAGCAACACCTTTTTAACATGAGCTGTTAAAGAAAGGTGAAGCTAGCTCTCGTGAATACTTGCCAAGTGTTTTGCTTGCAATAACTAACCATAATAAATGTGGAAGCAGGTATGAGTTGGATGTGAGAGCAAGAGAATAAACACTTGCGTTTTGTTCCTGAAAACTTATTAAGCTGGCTTTGTTTGCTGTCGACGTCATTGGATAAACGTATGAAAACAAATTGTTTTGTTAAGGATATGTTTTAAAAATCCAGAGGTATGTTACAGGTCATTAACGCTGCACTGGCTCTGGCTGCTAAGCCCCAAAGCAAGCTGGCTCAAGAAAACATGGATCTCTTCAAAGAGCAGTGGGAGAAGCAAGTCCGTGTGCTGACGGATGCTGTTGATGACATCACTTCCATCGATGACTTCCTGGCTGTATCAGGTAATCAGGGGTTGGATCTCAGAAATAATCATTCTCATAAGTGAGCTTATTCCTGGAAACGGGTGGTTTCTGCACGTGTTCTGGAGTCTTCTCGGGTTTTTGGAGGGGATGGTGTTGGTACACTTCACCTGGCAAGCGTCATCTTCTGCTGAGCGAGGTGTGAAAATAGAGCAGGAGATCTTGGCACAAGGAAAAGAGGTATTTTTATAGCGTGAAAACAGTGATAGTTTTGTTCAGCAGGTACTGTAGAAACCTGTCATTGCACTTACAGTGTGTGCGTGCAGAAATGTATATATTTACATGTCAGTAGACAGATCAGCTTAAACGTAGTGAAAGACACTTTATGTCTCAAGATTTTGATTTGCTAGCTGAGCTACTGATGAATTACCATCTGGCTACTGTAGACAAACCTCACCGGTAACATCAAGGGAAATAGAATATGTTTATGTTCAAGTTATGAATGAGAAAAAAGACAATCCCTCACTTCACCTTAGACATAAACAAAAATGAATATCAAGCCATGGTTGTACAAGTTAATTATAATAAAACTGTTCCTACAGAAAATGTTCTGTGAATATTTTTAACTATGTCAGCTTTAGTAAAGTTTTTAAAGTTTTTTAAAAAGATTAGATAATTATAATAGATTAATAATTCCGTTTGGCAGAGTACTTGCCAAGATAATCTGTTTTATCAGCATCATTGATAAAGACCCACAATTAGCTGCTGTGACCTAGAAATAAGGGGGGCGTTTTTATTTCCACATCATCTAATTCTGCTCTAGTCAGAAGACATGGTGACACAACCACGCAAATTGTATCTGCAATAGCGTCGGCAAATTACCTCTACAAACTGAGGGTCTCATTTTCCTGGTGACTCGGGCATCTCAAGTGACCTAAAAACTCCAGTTGCAAAGAGATTTGACACAGGAAGATGTGTGGAGTCAGAAGTACCAGGTGAACATAGCTAGAAAATATAGATGAAAAATTAAGATCCTGAATTAAAAGACCATCCTTTATTTTATAGTTTAAAAAAAAGAAAAAGGTAAAGAACCCAAGTGGTGTTTCTACAGTGAGTCACCTGTATTATCCTACATGTTGTATTGTGGTTCCCTGAGTTCTGAATAAAATTTTTCTTTGCAATGAGTTAGCATAAACTTATTAGGCAATTGAATGTCCCAGTTCTTTGTATCTGTCTGCGTGCTCGTTGTTGCAGCAGTGTTGAAATTGCACAGCTGCAAGGAGCCTATTTCTGGGGAAATATATTTAGAGAGAATTGTGTGCTGAAGTTCACGGCTCCACTTGGAGTTTGCCTACAAGTGTACAAAACATTTTAAAGAGAAAGAGCTGTCAGTCTGTGAAAACGCAGCCTGTATAAAGCTGCCTTACTGTATTTCACTTCCAGGTGTGGCTCAGAATGGATCCAGCCACTGGAACCGAGTGGTCTGTGTCCTTGTGTAGGTCATTCGAGGAGATGGGTGCTCTGCTTTTGAGGGGAGAGGTTACGGTGTTGGCCCATTGCTGAGCTGCTCTGAAGAGTCGCAAGGGCTTGGCAATAGGCAGGGAACGCTGCTTTTCACAGGCTGACTCGGGACAGAGTTCACTCCGAGCGTACGCTCGCCACCCAAAATGATGCCGTGGAAATGCTCTAGTTTGAGACTACACCAGATGCTTGAGTGCATTCAGCAATTCTTTGTATGTGCTGCGTTATCAGAGAGATGTTAGAAAAATACTAAAGCAATAAATATTGTTTTAAATATTATTTGTTTGAACTTTGATAAATGTTTCCCATATAAATGCCACAACTCCAATTCGTCTGTTAAATATCTCTTTGGATAAAATCATGACGGGTATGATTTATACCAGGTTCCGTTTGGGGTTATTAGGATGTTTGTGTCAGTTTGTATCAGTTACTAACTGGGATGTAAGCAGAATTTAAAAGAGTTCTTGTGAGTCTATGTGTGTGTGTGTATTTATATAAAAAACTACCCCCACATTCCTACAACATGTTGTGCTGTCCATCATGAAGTATATGCTCCATTGTTCAGCTTATGCTACGGAATCGTATCAATTATCCGCAAGTAAAGGCTTGATGCAAGAGATGTCGGGTTTAGATGATAGCAGAGTATCATAGAAGAAGGATACTTACATGCACAGAGTTGCAGATAAGCTTTATGAAGGGCGTAGCGTGAGAAGGGCCCTGTTGAGTTAGGACAACGCTCTGGCGGTGGCTAGTTGGCAGGGCAGAGGAGATGAATAGCAGAGGAGTCCTGTAGCCTGAAGATCTTTCCTATGCACTCCCAGCCATGAGTGATTTGCAGCTCAGGGAGCTCCAGCATCAGAGGTGCTATGCGCTGAACAGTCCTTGACAGATTTTTCTCATTTAAGCTTGTGTTGCTCTTTGGCTGACCATTATAAACCGCTGGCATCCCCATCATCCTGTGCAAAATTCACAGCTTAACTGTGCTCTGTGTGAAGAACCTCCTCGTTTTTACAGTGTCGCCTATTTGCTTCATTTGATGCCCCTAGTTGAAGGTGGTGAAGAGGCTTCTTCCCCTACTCGCTTTTTTCATGCTGTTTGTAAATGTGCGGACTTCTGTCGTACGCTTAGTCAGTCATTGCCTTCTTGACTGCAGAGTCTTTGCCTGTTTCGTTATTCCTGATTTCAAAGCTCTTCTGTACCTTCTGTAATTCTTATCCCTCTCGTCAGTGCCTTCCCTAAGCACTCGGGGTGTGTTTGTGCGCCCACTATCTCCGCTCTTTAGAGTGGCTGCTGATAGCACCATGTAATTGTCAAATTCAATGTTCTGAAATTACCTGGATCTCCTTTGAAACCCTCTAAAAAAAAAATCACTCAATTTGCTGCCTTCTGTTCCTCTGCCGCTGGCAGAGGTTTACGCAAGAGACTGCCCATCACAGCGGAGCTGTTTCGCCTCCAGATGAGTATTGGCTGGGCCCGATGATTGTCCTTCTTCATTACAGGATGAATACTGTATTTACAAGTGGGTGAACACTGAAGTATTTGGTCCATATCCACGTCTACTGACGCTGCTGCTTGACCTGGTTCCTCCAGCGTCCCTTGTCAAGAGAGGGTCCAGCAGGGAAATTGTTGTAAGACCTTCCCCAGGGCACACAGCAGAGAAGCAGAGTTACATTTATGTATCTGTGGCTTTATCTCCTGACTGTTGCTCTTAGGTTTTGATCTCCTTTAGCCCCCAGACTCCCTCGCAGGCTTCTTGGGATGTTTGGAAAAGGATTTCTGAGTCCTTTTAATGAGGAGGTGGGTGGAGGTGGAAGGTTTTTGGTGGGGGTGGATTGAGGATTGACAGGTGTGGGGGACTTTTAATTCTGTTAGCTTTTCACGGTTTTTCATATTTCTTTGTTTGCTCTAAAAATCAGTTTTATTGGAAAAATGTTGCCTTTCCTCTTACCTTCTTGGCAAACCACACCATTTTTTCCCTATAGGGAAAAAGGACAAGATCCCTTTGCCGTTGCCCAAGTTATATTCTGTGTTATATTCTATTGCTGTGAGATTTTTCTCCAGCTCAGCAGCAGGAAGGCTGTTAGCTTGGATGCAGGATGGCATTATCACGTCCCCGAAGGTACTGGAGGTGAACCTGTGCGTCAGCATTTCTTGGGTTCTGCCACCCCGGCCTCAGCAGATGGCATTTTGTGCCAGACACTTGCGGTCCATGTGCCTGTAGGACTGGTAGCAGTGTGTGTATGCAAGCACAGATGCACCTGACAGTCCCGTACTGCCCCGGAACCCCTTGCAGACTGGCCCGTGAGGGATTATTTTTCCATAGAAGTGTCTTTCTGGCAACTTTGCACTTGCGAAAGACATTAAATGATCAGCAGGCATTTAAATATTCATCCTCATTTTGTCCATGCCTTTTATTAAAATTAATATAATCCAAAGAAGCTCTTAAATAGTCTGTGGCTTAATTTATTCGTTAAGGAAGTCAAGCAATAAACAGTCTGTGTTTTGGCCTGACGCCGATGCTTTTTCTTTTTACTGTTCCAACTTGCAGGGATGTCTGTCTCTTGCTTTAAATACCGAAACTCTGTGTGCTCCTTGCTGCAGCTCTTGTACCTTGGCTGCCTGCTCACTGACTTGTCAAATCGCTAATGAACCTGCGCTTCTCTCTTAGGGCCACATTCTGCCCTCAGCTGAACTTGTTCAGGCTGAGTTGCTTCAGAGGTATTTCACAAGCGTATTTTTTGTCCAGGTTGCTTACAGAAGTCTCGCAACATTGCACCCGGCTCTGTTAATTTTATGTAAATTAAGCGTAACGCTTCCAGCAGCAATCCTTTCAGCCAGTTTATACAAATCCTCTATCAGTCAACTCTATGTGCTTCTCGGCTCTACAAACTCTTGCAAAATGGCTCTTTTACTACCTGTGTAGGAAATAAAAGCCACTTCAGTGGCACGGATTGGCAGTGTAGCATGATTAAGTCAATGGTAAGTAACGCTGAAAACTATTTTAAGTGACAGAGCAGAAATGTTTCCAAGTTGGTTTCATACCAAGCAGCCCAAATGCTGATGTTGGATGGCACCGTCAAAGCGTTGGTACTGATATATTAAAGAGGTCTCTGATAGAGCTTGGAAGACCTTTTGGGTGGGTTTCCCCCAATGAGGATCCCAACCTCTTCAGGCATCTTCAGAAATCTCTTAGGGGTTTATACTCATTTGGAGCTTCTTGGACTTGATAAATGGGGGAAAATATCTCTGTATAAAAAAGAAAATATATATTCTAAAAGTAAATTACAGAGGTCTTGGCTTTATTTTTTTGTTTTCTTAAGAGGCGATGAGTACTCTGTCGCTGGAACGCTTTCTGCATAAATCACTGCATATGTTACGTGTCTTAAATTTGAATGGAGGACTAACAGTTTAATATTCTCTGATGGTATGTGTGTGGTTGTAGGAAAACACTATGTAGGAAGCTAGAAACATGCAACAAGTGCCCCAGTCTATTAGAGCGTTGAGTGGATGAGGTGTGGTGCTGGGGAGGGTGCCTCATTGTCCCACACACGTGGAATGACGGGGAGCGGCTTTGCAAAATTTGGGGGAAGGGCTTTGGGA